TGGCCAGGGGCGTGGCCAGGGGCGTGGCCAGGAGGAAAACATCCTCTCACTATGTGACCGGAAGTTGAACTGCGGGGCAGCCAGACCACAAGCGGCTTATTGAAAGGCAAGGCGGAGGTGCGCCGCTTGGCTGGGATCCCGGAGCGCTAGATGTTGTGCGTCCCGGGTCTCGTAAATCCTGAGCTGGCGGTGGTAGGTTGCAGTCCTTGGAAAAGAGCTCGCCCTTGAAGGATTCAGATTTGTTTCCCCAGCTTGTGATATGGAAAATTGAGGTATTTTCTTACGAGATGCAGGTCTGAAAGGCTGGGATCTACTGGAGATGTCTGGATGACTACACTGAACAAATTCTAGTCTCCCTCCGTTTTGGCTGAGAAACAATGCTCCCACCGACTACTGATGAAAACGTTCGCCCTGCCACTGGCGTCTGCACAGTTGTGGATATTGGCCTGCGCAGGAAAAAAAAAAAAAAGAGTGGGCCCCTTTGGGCCAATAATAATAAATTAGCTCGTGCTTGAATTAGCCAAGTCTTTGCGGTTTTGTTAACTTGGCCTCACTTTTCTTGGAGTAGGAAGTGCCCATTCCTGAAAAAGTGACTTTTCTAATTTGAACTGACACCTCATAAGGCCGTGCAATTATCAAAGAGGACAGAGTAGCACAGAGTAGCCTGGAAGATTTTTGGTGACAATGGATTTGGGTCTTCTTCAAACCTGTTTCAGACAAGGTCCTTTTTCCCCTTAAAAAAAAATTTTCAATATTTTCTAAGATCTGGGGATACAAAAGTTAACAAAACAGATCTTCCTTCATAGTCAGACATATAAGTGCCTGATAACGAATAGAATGTAATCTTTTGTATCTCTTGGTTAGAGAAGATAGACAAAATTGCAAAGTAGTGTTTCATTCACTCATTTAACACATTTCTTTGGTTAAATGTGATGTAAAATATACCATTTTAAGATAAAATAGTTACTTTCCAAATTTTAAAATTAATTTTCAATATGTAAATGTAAAGGTCTTAAAAGTCAAATAGTTTATATAAAAACTAAGCAGTTTTCTGTTCTATCCCACCACACTTTTTTAACCTCAATTAAAAAGAATTTTTTAAATTAAATGTATTGGGGTAATATTAGCTAATAGCATCGTAATTTTTCTCCACACTTTTGAGTTGTTTTTTAAGAAGTAGTCCTATTCAACTCCTACATATTTTTAAGCTCCTTATCCGTGCATTCCTCAGTAACATGATTATACTCTGATTTCTTCATTTAAAAGTTGTAGATACCATTTATTGATTGATTCCCATAGAAGATGATTTAATTCTTTTCTCTCACAGCATTCTTCCTCTTGCTTCAAACTCCTAATTATTTCAAAATTTTTAATTAAATAAAGTATTCAAAGTTTAAAGCATTAGAGTTATGTGAATATTATTCACTAATAAGTGAGGTATTTTACTATGACTGTGATTACATTTCTTGTTAAACGTTTTGTTTTTCCTGTAATTAACAATTGCCTCATCATTTTGTTTGTGTGTTTAACTCTTCATCAATCACTAACTTGGCCACAGACTTACCAGGATGGACACCCATATCAAGTTATCTCTCAGATGCATTTTAATCTTTGGTACATCCCTCTTGGAACACTCACCTCTTTATCTGCTCTGTTTTAGAAATTTCTTCCTCCTTTCTTCCATCTTGATTCCTTACTTTTCTTGGATTTCCTGTCCTCTTCTTTTCTCCCTTTCTTTCCTTCTTCCTTTTTTAATTTTAACATTTTATTTATTAAAAAACTTCCTATGCAACAGATTTGATTTATTGTGTGAATCCTTTTCATCTTTAAAATTTTTTTCTTTATTGATTAAGGTATTACATATGTACATATGTCACCCCATTAACCCCCATACCCCCACACATGCCCTCACCCCCCTGGTGTCTGTGTCCATTGGTTAGGCTTATATGTCCATTCATTTTTAAGGTTACAGAGTTTGGGGTGGTTGTTTGTTTGGTTTAGTTTGGTTTGGTTAATCCTCACCTTAGGATATTTTTTTCAATGATTTTTGTAGAGAGTGGGAGGGAGGGGAGAGAGAGAGACACATCAATTGGTTGCCTACTCATGCACTGGGGCAAGGGATCAAACCTGCAAACTAGGTATATACCCTTGACTGGGAATCAAACCCAACAAACCCTTCAGCCCCAGGCTGACGCTCTAACCATTGAACAACTGGCCAGGGCATGTTACATTGTTTTTACTTAATTTTTTTGATGTTATATTTGTCTTTTATCTTACCTGAAAATCTAAGTTTTTAAAAAAGTGTTTTATTTCAGAGTGAGAGAGAGAGAGAGAGATCCATTTGTTGTTCCACTCATTTATGCATTCAGTGGTTGATTCTTGTGTTCTTGTATGTGCCCTGACTGGGGATTGAACCTGCAACCTGATGTATCAGAACCGTCCCTAACCAACTGAGCTACCTGGCCAGGGTGAAAATCTAAGTTCTTAAAAATGTTCACTACTTTTTTGCTTTATCATTAAATATATAGATATTAGTTTCAGAATAAAAAAGCCAATATTATTTCCAACAATGTGATTACTAAATACTGTTTAAGATTTCTTTGTAGTTCTTTTTGCACAAGGGATGAAAAATCAAATTGCTGTGCTTTAAAGTTGTTTAAATTCCCCTTGTGTAGCTCAGCCATCAACTCAATATGAAATCGAATCCTTATTTTTTCCATTTTGATTCCATTTTTAAGGAAATATGTTTACTTAACTTTGTTATATCTACACTAATAAAAGAGAAACATGGTAATTAGCATATGACCGCTACCCTTCCCATTGGCTAATCAGGGTGATCTTTCTTTCTTTCTTTCTTTCTTTCTTTCTTTCTTTCTTTCTTTCTTTCTTTCTTTCTTTCTTTCTTTTCTTCCTAAATCCTCACCCAAGATATGCTTTTCAGTGATTAGAGAGAGAGAGAGGAAGGAAGAGGAAGAGAGAGAGAAGCATTGATATGAGAGAGAAACATCTATTGGTTGGCTCATGCATACACCCTGACTGGGAATAGAACCCACAACTTGGGTATATGTCCTTACCGGGAAGTGAACCCTTGATCCTTTGGTGAATGGGACAATGCTCTAACCACTGAGAAACACAGGCCAGGGCTTCTATCTTCTTTCTTTAATTTGGTTGAATATATTCTTAGCTTCCTGAGAAAAAATGCATAGGAAGCACATTTTTGTAGATCACATATGTCTGAAAAAAAGATCTTTATTCTATCTACATTTTATAGTTTGGCTGGATATAAAATTCAACATTGGAAATACCTTTTCATCATTTTGAAGTCATTGATCAATTCTTTTCTAGCTTCCCGGTCATTGTAGAGTCGCTGGATACTATTAGACTCCAACACCTTTGTATGTAACCTGTTTCTTCTCTCTGAAGTTTATTTGATCTTCTCTTCTTGGTATCCTGACATTTCAGTATTTGATATATCTTTGGGTGGGTCATGCTTTATTTATTGGGCTGGGTACTTGGTGATATTCACATTCAATGGAAAAACTTAGGTCCTTCAGGTCTGGGAAATTTTCTTTTTTCATATTTTTTAATAATTCTTACCTTTTCTCTAATTTCATTTTATCTTTTTGTTCTACTTTCTAAGATATTTCCTCCATTTTATCTTTCAGTTCTTTTTAATGCATTGTTTACTGATACTACATTATATTTAATTTCTAAGAGTTCTTTCTAGTTCCTTTTTATTGTTTCATGGCATTCTGACCTTTCGTGTCTTAGAATATTGATTATAATTTAAAAAAAATTTTTTTTATTGATTTCAGAGAGGAAGGGAGAGGGAGAGAGAGGGATAGAAACATCAATGATGAGAGAGAATCATTGATTAGCTGCCTCCTGCACGCCCCCTACTGGGGATCAAGCCCACAATCCAGGCATGTGCCCTTGACTGGAATCGAACCCGGACCCTTTAGTCCGCAGGCCGTTGCTCTATACACTGAGCCAAACCAGCTAGGGCTCAAAATGATTATTCTTTTAAAATTCTGTTTTTCTTAGTTGGGTCATAGCTTTTCTAGCTTTCATGACAGAAAAGTTGGTTCCATCTTTGACTTTTACCCTAATTTACTTGCTGAATATTATCTCATCTATCAAGTCTTGCTGATATTATAAACCACTTTCCTACTTCATTTGCCTGTAGTCACCCCATAGCTTAGTGCTTATTACCTTACTACTAGAGTGTAACAGAATTCTAATTATTCCCCTGACTACGGTTTTCTCTTTCTCAGTTTATCCTGTGTAAACATGTAAGAGCTATAATTCACACACCATGCTTTTATTTTGTTGATGGTTCTACTAAAAATAATTTGGTGGTTGTTTATT